GGAATGCCGGTGATGGGTGTGCTCGCCGAAGAGAAACACCGGCGGTGAGCTTTGCGCGAGGATGTCGCGATCGAGGGAGCGACACTAGGTTTTTTTTTGTGAAAGAAGTCGGCTGCGAGGGTTTGCGATCAGGATGTTTGAGAGAATAGCGTAGGTTATAAAGGATAATAATAATATTAGTATTATTAAAATAATAATAATAATTATTATTATTAATCAATTAATCAATAATCCACACATTTTTTTACCCAGACACGCCATCAATTTGAAATGAAGGCCCTCCTTCATTTCAAACGCGATGGCGGGGTCCGTTTTGCCATTTGTGGTCATTCAGACCATTTTTTAACGATCGAGCCCAAAATGATAATTTGAACATTTTTAGTCCCTCGCGAAGTTGTGCTGAAATGTATGTTTTTCCTAAGTGAAATTGACATTCTGGACACACTTACATGGTCCATTTCATCATTCGGAGTTGTCTGAATAAGCTCGCTGGTAATTGGGCCAATTTGAGCCACTTTTAGTGCAATGCGACGAATGTGACCTACTAGCCCAACTAAAACAACCCGACTAGTGACATGCTAATTGGCCTTCGCCTAAGCGAGAGTCAGAGTCTAGCGAAGTGACCTACGTAATGTGCCCCTCAACACACGCCAAAAGATCTCAACCAGATGTCTTGAGCTACAAGAAACATATATGCACGAAGTGTTACCCCGACTCGCTCAGGTGGACATCCCACACATGTGACATCAAGAAAATGATGCCAACACGACTTCATCTGCGTCGCTCGTTTTAAATACACGTGAATGGATAACATTTGTTCATCATCCCAAATGATTCATAACCTGTGAATCTCAACAGCTAAGATCTCTCTCGATACTTAATCAAATCACATGGGGTTTGTTCCTACACCTCCATCTAAGCGAGACAAAGTTTTGTGGAGTTTGGTAGAATGACCAAAGAAGTCCTGGATATGAGCTTTAAAATTAGGGTTTATCAGTGGGGGGAGAAGGGCTAAAAATTATTGGGATGAGTTTCGTATGAGTTTAATGGAAATTTGGAATTATTTTGGCGGAGTCTCCTCAAGGTTTTTGTGTGCTTTTTCCCTTTGGCCAAGAGGGTGTGACATACTTATAGGCCAAGAATTAAGGTTTAATTGGGTTGGCCAGTGGGTGTAAAATGGTGTTTATGAGGAGGGAAAACAATAGCCAAGGTCCAATGGGGGTGAGCCACATTGGAGGGGTTTAATTTTGGGTTTTGGCCATGGGTGGCCTCTCAGGTTTGGGTTTTCCGGCGGCCAAGGTAGCCAACCGGGCCATGGGTGGTCACCATCCACCTGGGGAGCTCAGGGGTTGAGAGTTGTGAAGTCAATTGTGTGGTGACAAGTGTCTAAGGGTTGGATTTAAATGGAATAGGGTTTGGGTCACTTTTGGGTTTGACTTGGGTTTGGTTCATGGATTTGGGTTGGGATGATTAGCTTGGGGTCTTAGTTTGACAAGTCCCAATTATAGAGATTAATATTTAATGAGGGGTTAGAGTGAAGCATGGGTATAGTTAAGTACTTCAGGGGAAACATGAAAGAGCCTCCTCCTTTAGCCAAAAGTGGCACAATGTCTTGCATGAGGCTCATGCATGGCTCCTTGGCTTCTTTATGGCTTAGATTAAGCCATATGGCTTGCCTAAGGCTCATGCATGGTCTACATGGCTTGCAATAAAGAAAGGAGGTTAAAATTTCAACCCTTTGCTTGATTAATCATGGAATTTTGAAGTTTAAGCTTGATTAATTTGATCATATATGGCTAAAATTTGTCACGTGGGCTTTTTTGTTTGAAGTGAATTTGACATTCGGACTTCGATTAGTGAGCATTATGATGGGTTATGGAGGGTTGATTTGGCATTTTGATTTAATGTAAATGGTATTGAAAATTAATCATGGTAAACTTCATGAAGCCTTGAATTCATCGTGATGAAGTTTAGGACATAAATTTGGTGAAATTGGACTTGGCATATTGGTTCAAATTTGGTGAATTAAGGGTATGGGGTGAATTTTGGTGTAGGGTTAAGGTGAATTTGAATTTAGCGTTCATGGGAATTGGGTTTAAAATTTTTAAATTGGGGGCATTTTTGGAGATTAGAATTTCATGAAATTTGGGTGATTTTGGTCATTTTGGCGGGATTAGGGTATTTTGGTAATTTTGAGGACTTTGAATAGTTTTGAGAATTTTTGGGGTAATTGAAGTAATTTAGAAGAAGTTTGGTGCAGGATAAAATGTAAAGAGCTGTAAATGTGTGGAGTGAGGTGAATGTGTATGTAGTGTGATATGAATGTGTATGTAAGGTGAAGTGAGTGGTGTAG